TGATCGGTTATAATCAACACGTGGGATCCCCCACAACAAAATGGCGCAATGGGCCGAAAATTTTAAAACAATTGGAAGCTGATTGTTCTAATTCTTCAAAAAATTGAGTTTAGAAAAAAAAATTTTTTTTGGCCCATTGCACCCTTTTGCTGTTGGGGTCCCCATGTACAAAACTCAATTAAAAGCGATTTAAATCAATTAGAATCGATGTTTCTATTTATATCAATTATAATCGATAATCGGATAATTGAAATCTAAAACTTCCCGATGTTCATAATGTTTGAATAAAATTAACATATCAAATAACTAAAGTTTTAGAATGGTGCATGTGTTAATTTGCATTGAGATTTTATCTGGTGGACGCTCAATTAAACTTGGTGAGCTGCATAAACTAAATTTCTTTTTTTGATTTGAATTATTGAAATTTGAAGATCAATAAAAAAAAAAAGTAATCACTAATTTCTGATTACTGATTTCCGATTTCTTCTTTTTTTTTTGATTTTTAGATTAGACAAAATTTGTGTATCTATTATTTTATTATTTTTTATAGAAATAAAAGTTGCATATTTATCATTTCGTAATATATTTGCAAAAATAGGTGTTGCGCATTAAAATATCCAATCAAATTTTTACAGATGATAGTCTAAAAGTCAAAAAAAATGTTGAAGAAATCAGAAATTAGTTGATTACTTTTTTTTTATTGATCTTCAAATTTCACATAATTTTACAAACCGCAATAATGTTGTTAGAAAATTGGTTTCAGGAAGTGATTGTCGGAGAAATCATGCCTCCATACAAAGTTTTTAGAAACTTTTCTGAATATTTTAAGTTTTATCAATTGCCAAAATAAAACGAATTAATGAAAATCAAGTGGCTGTTTTTTCTATAAAAAGGCATTTATTCTGGTCAAAAACAAAAAACAAGCATTTCCCAATAATTAAACTCAAAAATTCTTATAAACCAAATTTTTTTGTTAACTTATCAGTTATAAAAACAAATAATAACCATGATCCGAAATTTTGTCTTATTATTCGTTTTTTTGGCCGCACTTTCTATGGTCAATGCTTTTCAATCCCAACTGGTTAAAAGGCAGGCTTCATTTGGGAGATGTCCGCTTCCAGTACCTCAAGATATTCCAATAATTACTAACATAACACTTAATCCTGATCCTCCAATTGCTGATTCTCAGGTCGAGGTTAAAGGTTCAGCAATGACCAATAATGATATTGTTAATGACACTTTCTTCACTTTTGTAATTTTCAACGAATCTATAACCATATTCGCCAAACCTACAAATATTTGCAATCCATTTAGGTGTCCAACTAAAACCATATCCGCCAAACCTACAGACATTTGCGATCCAATTAAGTGTCCAACTAAAGTGTTTAATTTTGACATTAAATATTATTTAGACGTAGGATTTTTTCCTTCATCATACACCATTTTGGTTTTAATTGGACCTCAGAGTCCTACAATAAATGATACGTTAGCTTGTGGAACTGCTGAAGTCAATTAGTTTTTATTTCGCAATTTAAATTATTTTGATTTTTTATTTATATATTTTTTTTTAAAATGTTATAATGTTTTAATTATTTTTTTTATTCACTTTAAAATAAAATTTGCTTAATTAATGGTAAATGGATAAAAATATATAAACTTTTGCGCAATTTCATATCTTCCTTTTATTTAAATATGGTTACTACAATATATAAAATAGTCTTTTTGCGATTGCTATACTTTTTTCTGTGGACTATATGATTTGTATATCTCATGTTTTTTATCGTTTTTCTATAATATTCTTAAGTTATCTGTTTACACATAGTAATTTAATAATTTAATTAACTTTCAAAAATAATTATAAAAATTATATTGTCATCTTTCTCTAATTTCGATGCCTAAAGATAGATACTAATCCAATTCTAGATAAATTAAACAACTCTGCCTACACTAAACTTAAGATCTTGAGAAATTCAAATTCCACGTAAATTTCGTTCTCACAACATCATATAATCCAATATAAAAATCATGATTAGTAACCGACCCACTCTGAAAAAAATAATGCACATCGTTTTTGACCAAGTGATCGATAAGATATTAATTAAAAAAACTAGGCAATATGAAACTTCGTTCTGCACTATTAAATATATGGATTGTTTATGTTTGTTAACTGAAAACTTTTATTTATTCCTTTATACTGTATATGCAAGCCCTAAGATATAAGCTATCAGTCAGAGGACATGTCACGCCTGTTGATATATTAGTATTAGTTTGTAATAAAACAATCCTTCCTATAAAACAGCTTGGTGGGATATCACATCCCTCCGCGTGAACTTTGTGGGGTTCTGCTAAACGGCTAATATTCTCCATCCATTTTAGCACACTGTGTCTTGCAAGTTTGTGATACCTCTCATGATTTGAGCACGTGTATTATGCAACTCACATGCAACATGCAAGTTTTTTGGCCTCATATATATACAGTTTACCCTCGTTATAACATAGTGGCCGAGCTGAGAAATTCTGTCCGTTATAACGAATATCCGCTATAGCGTTATATAACATAATAATAAAAATTTTAAATTGTTTCAGGAAATTGCTCCGTTATAACGAGGTATCCACTATAACGGGGGTCCGTTATAACGAGGGTAAACTGTATATGCATATATATACCTATATCCTATAATAATATTCCCCTATAATAGGGCGGTAAAAAATTTTGCTGGTGCCAAATAAACCTTCTCCGTAACAAAAATATCGAGTGCAATATAAACTGACGGGTGTTAATACACTATGAGTTTTGACAACTTACGTACATGCTAGATTAAGTAACTTTCTATTAAGGGTAGATGGTATATAGATCATTTTTCATATGATATACGCACGTGGTATTTTAAAATTTTACTATAAAATTGAAAGTTGACGCTAATAAAAATTTTCAAATTACAATTAATTTTTATAAATTTTTAGAATATTTAGATAAATTAGGCATACAAACTTATATTTTCGGTTTTCATATCTCAGCCGGGTCAGCAAAGTGGGAATCCAAAATTTTAATTTTTTTTAATATATCTACCAATAAAATCCTCCATGTATATCATGTGACAAAAACAAAATCGAGTTGTTAAATCCTTGCGAAATAGTGACAGTTTCTTTTTTTTTGTATTGATATATCGCAATATAAGTACCGCCTAAATGCTAATTCAGCAACATACTGTATAATGCGTAATTGAAAGCATATATACTCAACATTAATGAAGCATATTTTATCAGCATTCATAATATGTATTTTAAACTGGATTCACTTGATTTATTTCAAGAAAAAATCCACTTATATATAATTGTGGCATAACCATCAAAATCATCAATGAAACATTAATTAAAATAATATCATTATAATTATTAGCTAAATAAAAGATACAATTGAAAAATGGCATAAAAGTATGGGACTTTGTAGTTGAAAGAGTCAAAAAATATGATTTTGAGATAATCAAGTTTATCATGTTCTGAAAATTTGTGTTTATTGGTTAATAATTCAGGTATTTTCGTATCGAAATTTATCCATGTCTTGTTGATTTTTGCGCCAAAATCTATCCATGTCTTGTTGATTTTTGCGCCAAAATCTTTTTATTGATTTTCGGGGGCAGTTTGCAAAAGAATATTTTCTTAATAAGATTTATTATAAAAATTTTTAAATTGATTTGTCTTTGAAATACCTTCAGAAACCCAACTATGTAATGTTACTGGCAAAACCACATGATCTTAGAATTCAAGAAATATGCAGAACAATATAT